GTCCTCCCTGGGTTCTTTTTTTTCTGATAGAGGAGTGGGAGGCTCAAGGGAGTCTTCTCTGCATGGTGCTGTGCTGGACTGGGGAGGGGCAATGTGGCCAACAGGTAGCTGCTTCTCTTACCCTTCTAGTGCAGTCTGTCTTGGTCTCTATAGTGCTGTGGGGTGCAGGCTGGGGATGGTGTTCTTCAGCTGGCTCCCATGTTCCAGGATTCTCTCTATGGTGTCTTTTTCTTGACTATTGTTGTTCTTGTGAGGGGGAATGAAGTCAGGAATGACCTATTTTGCTATCTTGGTGATGTCACTCCCACAGGTTTTTTTTTTTTTTTCCAAATCGTGGTTATTGCTTATTAGTGAATTATGACTAGTATGTATTTTTGTCATTATTTATTTTTTTAAAGTAAGTATTTATTTATTTTAGAGAGAGAGAGAGAAAGAGAGAGAGAGAGCATGGGGTGGGGGGTCAGAGGGTGAGGGAGAGAGAATCCCAAGCAGAGTCTGCACTGAGCATGGAGCTGGATGTGAGGCTTGATCTCATGACCTGACCCAAAATCAAGACACTTCACTGACTGTGACACCCAGGTGCCCCAGTTTATTTTTAAATTCAAGGGACTATATACGATATTATAAGATATAAAACACCAAAATAAATTGATGTAGTAATGGTAGGTATATTTTTGTGAGACCTTGTTATAGGTATATATTTAGGTGTGTAGGTGTATATGTATCACTGAAACACAATGCAAAATGTATTTATCACTGTAGGTCATAGAAAATTTAGAGAAACAATGCAACACATGACTAAAAAGCAGTATAAGTTCTTTGCCAATAAGATATGTCGACCTTGGTACAAAGGGAAAGTATGTATATATTAATGAATATCAGCAAAATACACAACAGTAGGTTAGTCAAAGCCCAAATATATGTATGTAGGTGATTTTAAAGTCATAATCCTCTTTCAGTACCTGCTGTCCTACTGTGATTATTTTTTTTCAGAATAAATGTGACACTCTTTGAACGTTTTTAGGATAAGGACATGCCTTGTTATTTGGAGTCCTCAGTGCCCGGAGCACAAGAAGTGCTGCGTCAGTGCCTACTGAATGGATGAAGGGAGGAATGAGGACCACGGCCTCCTATGTAAAGAGCAGTATTTTAGAGTAGCACATCTTGAATTTGGTGAAACTTATAACCAGCTCTTTTATTTTACGGCTGTTTATTCCTTTTAAAAAATGAATCACTTTCTGCTATATGTGAAAGAACTTGAATAAGCCACAGAAATTTTCTGAGGAAGCGCGTAAGATAAGAATTGTCATGGTGGCTCCTTGTCTGTCTTGCCTCAGTTGGAGTTCTCTTCTGTCGGCTTCTCCAAGGACGCGATAGAAAATGTACTTATAAATGAGTTGGGCCAGGTTTACCTCAGAGAAAATATGTCGAATACATGTTCTTTGGTATCTTAGTTATTTAACCTTAAAGCTTTGTGTCAAACACTGGTATTAAATTAAAAGCAGAACTAACACTTTGTGAGTCAAAAATATATATTTTTTTAAATTCCGTTTCTTTCCTCTTTAACAGAGTTATATAAAGGTGTCTTGTAAAGTTTCCATGATCTTCCCAGAAAGTATCTTATGCAGTTATTGCCTTAATATTTGCTGTTTATATTTGTGTCAAGTGATGGATTTAACCAAAGTTGCATATATACATAATTCAAATTTTTATTTTTTTAGGGGCCACAGCATTGCCTTTTAAAAACTGGTGCAAAAATATGTGAGGTGGAGAAGTGAGGCAGGACTCAGAGGCCACGATATCTGGACATACTGAGAAATAGCACCCAGAAATTTCATTTGAGATTCTTTAGTTTATTTCTTGCTACCTAAAAATTGTCTTATTGTCTTCATTTCTTTAATGAAACATATTCTCTGAACATTTTCTTTCTGATTGCCTAACATATACCAAACATCGAGCTCGATGTTGATGGGTCAATGGTAAACAAGATGTAAAACCACCTCATGATAATGGAGAGGACACAGACAAGTAAGGCAGTAGGGCTGGAACGGACGTGCGCACGTCAGGGCAGGGGTGACACAGAGCATCATGAGTGCTCATGGGGCATCGCCTCGGGTTGGGCCCCATGGGAGGCTGCTTCTCAGAAAAAGTGGGAATTAGCTTGAGGACTGAAGAATGAGTAGGAAGCTCCCTGGGCAAGAAGAGGGCAACCTGAGGTCTGAAGATGAGAAGGGGGGTGGGGGGGTGATTGTATTTGTGCTTTCTGAGAATTTCTCAGTAGTTCCACGTGATCAGAGCTCAAGAATGCGAGGTGAGGATATGGAAAGACTGGGAGAGAAGGGTAGGGAAATAGGATTTTCTAAACCATGTTCCAGAATTTTTCCTAAATCCTGAGGGGAACAGGGAAGCTTTGAAGGTTTTTCATTAGAGGAGTGAGATGACAGTTAACTTGTCACAACTAATGGTGCTTTGCAGCAGCACCAGGGCCCCCTTCCCCCTTTTACTCTGCAGGGGAGCACAGAGCCATAGGGTGCTTCCCTCCACCTCCTTCTTTAGCTGCTGAAGGGGAGACTCAGACATCACGTCCACTGGAGCTGCAGACTCCGTTGCTATCGGCAGAACAGCAATCACAACACTTGAAATTAGATCTCTTAGCATTTTATCTTTCTGACTACCTAGCGAAAACTGTTTTTTTTTTCCTTCACTCTGATAGAAGATGAAAAATGGTAACTGAGCAAGAATATGTATAGTCCTGCATGACAGATGGGGAGCATTAAGCCCATTGACATTTACTTAAAAAATGGTACTGTGATTAACAAATATTTTCTCCACTTTCATCGAAGGTGGAATAAAAAGAAATTAGCTTCTATGGCAAGCGCTTTCTTTGTTACACATGCCTGCCTAGTGTTTCTACTTATTTCTGCCTGTGGGTTCTGTATTAGTCATCCTAGACTTATGCCCTAAAGAGAAACGTATAAAATTAGGCTTATACCAACGTTTTCAGCTTCTGGCATCCCTAGTGGGGCCTCCTGTTTGCTTTATTCTGTTTTGTCTGCTCTTCTGGATCACTTGGTTTTTAATTATTCTCCTAGGTCTTTGCATTTTGTCCTTCATCCATCATTTTTTAAGGGTCCTTGAACCTTTCAGAAAACGAGTTTTACATGTATCTTATGGGTGCTTGAAAATCATTAGAAGCCAACATTCTCTTTTCATAGTAAAATGTTCTTTCCCTTCTCCTTTTTTCTGTACATGGTTTTGTGAATCTGCTTGAAATCTCAGGCACATACAGACCACAATGTGTAGGTCAATAAGTTACTTGAACGACAAAACAGAGAAACAGTTCTTCACGCTTGTTAAGGCAAAAATACAGCGATATATTATCACCCTGGGGAACAAGAAAAGGTCTGGGTACATCATTCTGGCAGAAACCATCACATACGCACAAATATAGTATCTTAATTAAGAAAAAAAACCCTATGTTGAATGACTAAATAACTAAAATTGTCTGATTTGTCTTGACACTCACTATCTGACCAGCTGCTTGCCATGTCTCCTGCTACTTTTATTTTCCTACCATTAGCGGTCCACTTGCTTTTACCTTGACTAATGGAAGCTATATACTTGTCGTAGGGGAGCCTGAGATCATCCAATCTGGTTCTCGCCTCAGGCCTGGGCTGTGCTTTGGCTTAGTTTATGTTCTTCACCCTCAGCCTTTCATACTCTTCATGATCTAGCTCCCAGCCCGCTGCCAAAGGTCTAGCAGTATCTAGGGTTCTGGTGTTAAGGTAGTAGTTGAGTTTTACTAAGGTCCTAAATAAAAATTTTCCCGAAAGGGTGTGTGTTTCTGGCAGGCTATTAATGCTCTTTCTTCTTCAATCCCACGTATTTACATGGCTAATTACTTCCCATCATTCAGGCCTTGTCTCTGAAATGCCATTTCCTCTGATCATCCTAGCTAATACTTGTGTCCCAAATCACTACTTTGAGGAAGCCTAGCTGCTACTTAAAAAAGGACCCATGATGCTGTTTATCTATATTTCACATAATAGTATTAATGTGATTGGTCCACATTATGAGAAAACTCTACTGCACGGCGTCATTTATGTATACCCAGGATCCTTCCATCTTGTTCGGTCATGAGCCCAACATATTTCTACTATCTGAGTAGCTAACTAAAGCTGTGTTATTGCTGCATTCAGTTTTTAGCCAATGGGAAGAGAAAAGAGTGCCCAGAGTAGGCATGCTCAGTATGCTAAGGCCCAGATCTAAAAGTGGCGCACATTATTTCCTTCCCTATTTCATTGGTGAGGACGTGACCACATGAGCACACTTGCTGCAAGGGAGTCTGGGAAATGTAGTTGGCTGGGTAGCTGTGTGCTCTATTCGACCCTACTTTATATGAGGATGGAGCTAACAGGCTTCACAACACTAAGTCACTCTGTTATTTCATGATCTTGTTTCATTTTTTTCATAGTGGTATCATTATCAGAAATAATTTTTAATTAATGACTTAATTCATTTTTCTCATTCACTAAATCTCTCAGGGTCTCTCATTACCGAATGTATGATCTATAACCACAGAACCATGTTCTTTTTGCTTATTCTGCATCTTTAGAGCATAAACTAGTGCTTGGCATATAGAAGGTATTCATAAGGGTTTGAGACCCCTGAGACTGGGTAAACCATTTGCTCAAGCTGAAGGCTAGATTTTCATAAGTGGTGCCTCCTTTTTTTACATCTGCTGAAAGGCCCCCACATGAGGGCAGTCAGGGGTCTAAATCTGAGATTCTTTGCTGGAACTGCACTTACTGGAGTTCTCACATTCTTAGAAATTACAGACTTCCATCTTGGACTGGGCATGTTTAACAGTTCACTGACTTTCATGAAAAACATCTACACTGTTGGACAAATTCCATTTGCCTGGTATACCAAATTAGGGGGTAATTAGTGGCCCACTGTATTGCAGAATACTTTTATTGTGTCTTTGAAAGATGGAGGCAAGCTTTGCGCAGTGGCAGCATCATAGCCAATGAGGTTTATCCGAGGCACGATTATTGCTAATTAAAAGATGGAGGCAACATCTCAAATTCCACCCTGGTTCGTTCAACTTTCTGGAGACATCTAGCTTTTTAGCAATCAGATCATGCTATTCTGGCTTGAGGGCTATTGTAGGGCTTGCCTCAAATGTATAGATCCCAAAGGAATGAAAACCTTTTCTAAAGGAAGCTGGAAAGTTCTTATTGGATACTCTTCTATTAGAAGCTCCCCTGTGTTCCCTACTTTTGTCTCTTCAGATTTGCCATGACCCAGCCTAGGTCAGCAATTCTCATTCCTTGACTTATATTCATCTATATGCTTGTCTCCTGGTTTATCCCAATTTTATATGGTCTTAACTCTTCTTCTTGAATTTATTCTCCACTGGTGCCTATGATCCTGGTGTTGAAATTGCAAAAAGGCGATTCATCTAGACTCCAAACTTTATGTGAGTAGGGACAAGGTCTGTCTTATGAATTATTGTATATTCATTGCCTAGTAACACCTATCACATAGCAGATAAGCACAAAGGTAGACACATAACAGTGAAAAGATAGGCACTAAACTTTGGGAGAGGTGCAATGGAGGGAACACTAAAGTGTTATGATGAAGTAGAGAGGGACTCAGAGAAGACATTGCCTAAAGAATTAATGTTTAAGTAGAGATACCAAGGGCCCAAAGAAGAACAGAATCTATGGTGTTATAGTACAGTCGCTGAAAGTTCAGTTTGGGTTTATAACCTCGTTCTATCACTTATGATATGTATTAGTCTGCTCAGGCTGCTCTAAGAAAATACCGTAGACCGGGTGGCTGAACGACAGACATATGTATCATAGTTCTGGAGGCTGGAGAGTCCAAGAGCAAGGTGCCAGCTGATTCGGCTCCTGGAGAGGGCCCTTTTCCTGGCTTGCAGATGGCCTCCTTCTGGCCGTATCCTCAAATGGCAAAAAGAGAATAATCACTCTCTCTCTCTCTCCCATCCTCCTTCTTTTTATAAAGCCATTGGGACCATCATAAGGACCTCCCCTTATGACTACACATTAACCTCTCAAGGGCCTGTTTCCAAATGCCATCACGTGGGGGGCTAGCATGATCTATATAAAATTGTTCAAATCATTCCACTTTCTTACACTTTTTCTTCATCTATAAAAGAAGAATCGTAATGGAATTTACTTCGTGGGATTGACATATTAAATAAATCAATATTCTTAAAACTCTTTTAAAAAGAGCCCAGACACACTAAGTGCTGCTATTTGAGAATTTATTAAATAAATAAAAATGAAGTGCATGACAAACAGATAAAAGAGGATGGACACAACTTTGTAGGAGAAAATGGCTTGACAGTTTATGTGCACAGAAAGGAAGCTAGTATGAGGAGAACAGTGAATAAGGGTGGAGAGAAGCTTGAGATGAAGTAGAAGAGGTGACCAGGGGCTAGATCTACTTGGACCTTGAGATCCTGGTTAAGGAACGTGGGTTTTAGTCTAAATGCACTGGGAAGCCATCTTATTTTAATCAGAGGATTTAAAGATTAGATTTATATTTTAAAAAATTAGTTCAGGTTATCTATAGAGAATAGATTGTAAAGGGTAAGGCAAGGAAGTACAGAAACTGATTAAAGGCTATTGTTTTAGCCCAGGCAAGGATAATTATGTAGTCTGGAACAGAGTGGTGGTGACAATCTGGGGGAAAATTCAATTTTGAGGTTTGGAGTTTAAATGGATAGAATTTGTTAACTGATTGGGTGGAAGAAGAGGGAGATGTGAGAATCAAGGATAGTACCCAGGATTCTGATTTAGGGTCTTGGCTGTAAAAAGGTATTAAATGCTTAGTTGAAGAACACTGTAGATGAATCGATTTATTGAAGAGTGGGTATAAAGATGTCAGTTGTGGATCTGTCAACTTGAGAAGCATCTGTGATATCCAGGTGGGATATTTAATTAGCTTTATTATCTATATAGAAGTTTGGAGGTGATATCTGAGTCAGAGATGACTTGGGGGAATGAACTATATTTGAATGATATTTAAGGTGGAAGAATAAATGAGGTTACCTAGAAAGAGGATGAGAAAAAAAATATTGATATGGTTTAAAGGATTTGGGTGGGGGTGGGTGGGATATGCAGTAGGAGTTAGGACTGCAAAAGAGAGGCGACCTAATGTTCTCTTTTTACTTTTTTCTATTTATTATAAAAAAATTCAAACATACAGAAGTTTGAGCAAGGCAAAATGGTACAATGAACAGCCATACACTAAGTAGTCCAGGTGGTGGATTCAACAGTTGTTAACATTTTGCTTTATTTTGTTCATCTATCTACCTATCTGTGTATCTACATTTATTTCTATGTCTGTCTACACATCTCCCCAAACTAATTAGCAATAATCACTCCTCAGATAAACCTCATTGGCTATGATACTGCCACTGTGCAAAGCTTTTCCAAACTATTTCAAAACAGGCTGTAGATATGATAACCCTTTACCCCTAAATATTTCAGCAACCATCTTCTAAAACTAAAGACATTATTCTGTATAACAACAATATCATGAACACATACAGTCATACCTTGGAGATACTGTTCATTTGGTTCCAGACCACCACAGTAAAGCAAATATTGCAAAAAAGCAAGTCAAATAATTTTTTTTTATTTTCCACTGCGGATAAAAATGTGCCTATACTCTACTGTAGTCTGCTAAGTGTTCAGTGGCTTTGTGTCAAAAAAAAAAAAAATAACAATGCACATACCTTAATTTAAAAATACTTCGTTGCCAAAAATATTCTAACCATCATTTGAGCTTTTAGTGAGTTGCAATCACTGATTACAGATAACTGTAACAAATATAAAAATAATAATAAAGTTTGAAATATTATGAGAATTACCAAAGTGTGATACAGACACAAGCTAAATCTGTAAATACTAATGGCCTTCTGCTGTTAGCACTTTGTCTCGGCAAAGTTGGGCCTAGGGCTCTTTGTAGAGGTTGAACGGCATGACTTACTGATATCCCTTCAGATTAATGATTTATGATCAACTATTAGTAGTCATATCCCAATTGATTTGGTAAAGAGTTAAAGATGAAAGGAGATAAAATCCAACATTATTTAGTGAAGGACTGTAAGTTGACCGTGCACTATTGACTTGCACTTTATCATTCCATTTGGTAGTTTTATAATGCTTTCTCTACTGGCAACTGACCCAATTTCAGTGATTCCTCTCTTTAAAATTTTTCACTCCCTGCATGTACCATTAAATATGCCATTAATTTAATGTTATTTATAATCCCAGTTCTTCACTCCTCTCACCAATTAGAATGACCATATAATTTATCTCTCAAATTGGAACACTCTGTAAAGTAAAAGGAGCATCATTAATAGTTACACAGAACTAGAGGTATAAAGTGGGCCGTTCCAGGGAAGCTAGATATGCGTGGTCACCCCAGCTATGGGTAAATCCCCCTCTCCCTTTTGTTTTCCCTATTATCTTACTCCTTTATAACTGAGGCCACATCACATATTGCGAGTAGAAGCCCCCAGGATATCTCTCCATATTTAAGAAGTCATAGAATAAAGTGCACATAACCACAGTTTTTCAAAATTTTAAATATGGTTAAGTGATTTCCAGCCATACCTTGCTTTTTCTAATATTTTTAATTTCCAAGGTTTTTCTCCCTTATTAATTTCTACTTAGTATATCATTTATGGAATTTCTTAGAGTTACTTTACATTGACTAATCTGAAGGAGTCTCTACTAAAGCCCTTGGCTAAAAAAATATACAAATTAATATAGGTTTTAAATATCTGTTACCTTATTTCACATAAGTGATAGATTATATTCTTGCAGTAAAAAGAGATTATGTCTTTGTAGTAAAAAATGAAGTCAATTTAATGGAAACATAATTCTTGAATATATTTGAAAAGTATAAAAGTCTCCTGCAAAATTATATTAAAGAGAAACCCTTGTACCAATAACTATTTGTTGAATGAATAAATAAATGAATGAGCCAAATTAGTGTTTTAACTTGTTTTTAAATTGATAGGATAGTAGATTCAACCCTTGCTTTTCTTACAAGAAAAGACAAAGATGAACCCAAGGTAGACTTATTCCTTCCTTCATCTTTTCTGCCATGATTGCTCCATTAATTTGAATCAAAATGAGTATATGGTAAGAACTTACTAAGACCGCCAGTGGACTTTTGGGTTTCCCCTAAAAGTAGGATACTGTTACATTCTGCTTTGAAATATGGTTTTGGTAGGTCAACATAACATGAGTTGTTTTCCTTTTTTTAATTTTGTAAATTTTAGGGTATTTTTTTCTTCTCTTTTTTAAAAGCCTTTTTTTTTTTTTTTTCAGATCGGTTTTCATTTACAGTAGAGTTGAGAAGGTACGGAGATTTTCCATACATCCCCTGCCCCTACATATGCGTAGCTTCCCGCGTTGTCCACATCACTCACCAGAGTGGTGGGATGAGCCTACACTGACAGTTTGCCTTCGGGTCGTCCATTCTATGAGTTTGAACAGAAGTACGGTGACATATGTGATCGTTACACCATCATAGAGCATATTTTCACTGCCCTAAACATCCTCTGTGCATGGCCTGTTCATCTTCCCCACTGCCCCCACCATCGTTGCAACTACGATCCTTTATTATCTCCATAATTTTGCCTTCTGAGTTTTTTCTTTTTTTTTTTTTTCCTTGTCAGCAATGGGTATTCCACAAAATAATTTTGAAACACTTCAGCTTTGGAAGGGGCCTGTCGGCACTCAGCACGCATTTCCACTGTCTTCCGTGTTCCCTGTGTTGCAGGGACTTATAAGCTAAGTGCTACATTTCTCAGGCTCCGTTCCTATGAAGGTTCTGTATGATTTAGATTCTATCAACAAAATGGGCCAATGATACATGAAATTTATGGGAGAAAAGGGAGGCAGAGACCATCTTCTTGCTGCCATGGCTACTGGTGTGCGAGTCAGGTAGATTTGTTTACTGTGGTCAAACTCCATGTGCCTGTGGCTGGGTTACTATCTTCATGGACGTAGAGGCCGCAGCAGCAGCAGCAGCAGCACCAATGGTTTTCTTATTCCTGCTGTCCATCCAGGCTGATGCAGCCTCGGAGCT